TTGGAATAGATATTCAAACTTGGGATAGATATTTCAACTTGGAATAGTTGGAATAGACTTGACTTGCTACAGAGAGAGAGAGAGGAAGAGAGTACACAGTTAAATAAAATTGATATTTGAAAAATATATATTATTGTTTTATAATAGCTGATGGTAGAACTTATTGAATAACGATTAGGAAGCTTTAAGATACCTTGTACTTTGGAAATTATTGCTTTAAATATTTCGTAGAACTCTGTAATGATCTCATATGAATTATTGCTTTCTTAATTACTTTGTTTATTTCTTATTTGCTGAGATACGTCATTTTCCATATCAATACACTTAGAAAAACATTTGCGTAATTATAGGCAATTTGCAATTAATTGAACAGGAAATTGCATCCAAAAAAATGATAAATGTTGAAAACAAAACTTATTTTTTATAATTTTAAATAAAATTTCTAGTTAAAAACTTATTATTTAAAGTAAGTTATTATTTAAAATAAGTTTTTAATAAAAATTTTTATTTTAATTGCAAAAGTAACTTGCTCGAAATGATTAATACTTAATTACTCATAAATTGCGCAAGCGGAGTAACTAAAATCCATTTAAAGGTCTTCAACTAGAATATTTCAACATTGAAATTTTTTATATCATATATGATATTAAATTATTTTACTGTTTTGACTACAGAAGACAACTAAAATCTATGGTTCAGTGAATCTGGCTTCAAAACGAAGGCTTGGATTTTTACATTAATAATAATAATTTTTTTTACTTTTCGCGATTCAAAATATTCGCTTTAATTTTGACTAGAAGCGATGGCAATGTTTTTCAATGACTTCAGGCAGCCATAAATATACTGAACGAGTAGAAATGTTTTTAATGCAACTGCGGTTACTTAGCAAAGTAAAAACAATTGTACAATAAACATAATATTTGAATTATCAAGTACAAAGATACAATGAAGCATGGGGCATTTTATAGCTTTTAATTTGAACTACCTTCGAAGTGTCTTGAAAGCTTGGCACGCGGCGGTATGGCAGATACATGAATCGACGCAGTTGAATTGTTAGAGATACTTGTTTCCATATGCTGAATGCATTAATAAATTTATACAGATACATCTCTATTTATTAAATTTGAAATATGTCAAGTGATATATAAAAATAAGTGGCTACGAATTAATCTAGACGAATGACAGTGACACGCATTGAAAATGCCGCTACAGAAAGGAACGATACCATTATAGTCGGTCTGGTACAAATACAGAGCACCCTAGGGTGTGTTTACAATTTATTTAATTCAAATTTTAATATAAAATCAAATGTACATATGTAAAAGTATTTTATTAATTGAAAAAGTTACATCATTTGCAATATCAACAGTTCCGACAACACGAATCAAGAAGTACTGGAACCGAGCCAAACAAATACATCTTTATTTCGCCGTTTAACTTGAAACTCAAACATGAACCCTAATTAAAAGTAACCATGTATTTAAAATCAGCATTTAGTGGCAGTAAGAAATGTGATGGGAGATTCTGGAGACCCTACAACCGTGAACTGTATATGATCTACCTCGCATCAGAAACAGTTACAAAATAAAGCTCTGTAGACTCCGGTATGCTAATCATGTATATCTCACCCATATGAAGTGAGAAGTCTGCACAGATAACTTTTTCTGGCAGATTTTATTGTAAGCGTTAGTGAAGCAAAACATATACGGATGAAACTTACTGGTGCCCAATTGGATAATATCGGCACTTCAAAGGTTTTTTTATTATGTTTTTAATATAACAATAGATATTATTGTATGGTTATGGTATATATATAGTATGGTATATATATTATTGTATGGTTAATTGCATAAACTAAAAAATTTGTCTTTTGATAAAATTTTAATAACAAATATGTTGTCAAATATATTTATTTTATATCTAGGTATACTAGAAATTAATAGTTCCATATGTTGATTATTATTTTGAATGCCTGTCTATGTCATTTATAGCTAACTAAGTTATATCTTGTAATGTTATTATAAACTGAAATTATACATAAGAATAAAAATGTTTGGTGTACTAAAAATAACATCTATTAATTATTATTTCTTTGGTTAATATATACACTTATGTTTTTCATAAGACCATAGCGCGAAAAACAACTGTCTGTAATAGTTTCTTAACACATATCAGTAGCAACCATTAAATATAAGACATAACAGTTGAAAGAGTATTTTAAGATTATATAGATATTGTAATTCTCTCTCTTTCCTAATACAGACACAAAATAATTAAAAATATTAGACTCAGGCATCAAATTTAGCGAATTTGTAATTGGATTCAATATTAATCGAAGAAGGAGGAACTTGATGATGGTAAGAGACATTTTACGTCCAAAAGACTTTGTTTTTGATTGGAAGAGATGCAATGGGCAACATGTATACGAAGAAGTGATATAGGATCACCACAGATGCCGCAGGGCTATTGAGGGGTACCTCCGAGTAAATATCTGTGGGACATGAATGAGCGAATAATTTTTAGACGTAAGAGCACAGTGATTTGATTTTTTAAAGATGTATCAGAAAGTACGGCCTTGTGTCATTTGAATTGTGGGAACGATCATTATCGTCACACTGTATTTAATGAGAATTAATTAACTAATTATATTTAATAAACTATATATTTAATTTATTAATTTATATAATGATATAGTTAATTAATTGTAGTTAATTCTCATTAAATACAGTGTGACTAATCAGAAAATATGCATTTCAGATACATTAATATGCAAGTGTCTAGCGTTAAGAAGAAAATTTCATGAATTTTTTCTACCTCAATGCAATTCGTCCAATAGATGAGTATATTATGTATAATATTACAAGGTTATACAATGCAATACCTAGATAGTAAGATAGTAAGAACATCCATTCCTCCTTCTGTTATTACGAACTCTAATAATCTAGAGGTCAAATGTTCGTATAAACCTTAAGTAGCGTACATTTGAAATTATCTTTAAAATAAAATATTAATTAAAGTAAAAACGTGCAAAAAGCTTGAAAAGTTTTAATTCAAAAATATAATTTTTTTTTTATTAATATAAGACATTAAAATAAATTATTGTTCAAAAAATATATAAGCATTAATAATAGGTTTATAAAATTTTTTTGAAAATGATATTAAATAGCAAACTGACAATCCAGCGTCTTCACCATAACGACCTCAGTTGAATACGTGTATTTGGAGCAGCGACCGCAATCATAGCAAAAATATTTTATAAAAATATTGTATCTATGAGATACTATAGGAGTATGTGCATAATGTTGTATAATATACTAGTATAAGCAGATGTGCGTAGAGCGCAAATGCTGACAATGTGTATGGTGTAATAATGGCAGTGCTTAGAGTATTCAACAGAGAGATATCATCATCATCACGGCTTACTAACGACAGTTCATTTTAGTCATGATATTGATGGAACCAAAGGCCAAACTGCAACATTGTAGAGACACGTAAATTTGATGTGTTAACTCAACTATTTGCACATGCTCATTCATATACTCTCTTCGTTTTCAGTATTACACATATATTTGATGTGTCTGGTAGTTGTTAAAGATATTGCAATAAATGTTAAGATAAATTAATAAAATATTTCACAACTAAAGTTAAAATGCAATCAACACCGGCAGCGTGTCGATGCAATTGTTGAAATGCAATTGTTAACTGAGTGAGGCGTGAAGAAATCTCA